TCCCCTCCCCCTTTTCTGATGAAGGGTCTAGGCCCGAAACGTCAGCCTCTCTGCTTCTATGATGCTGCTCGGCCTGCTGTGTTCATCCAGCCCTGCACTTTGTTGTCTGGAAGAACAACACCTCATTTTCCACTTGAGGACCTGCAGCGCTCCGGACTCAATATCGAGTTCAATAATTTTAGGGCCTAAACTATCCCATGTCCCAGCCCCCTACTCCACACCCCAGGCCTTGTTACCACATATCCTGCCATTACACACTACCTGTTACTAGTCACTAATAGTCCCCATTAACAACTATTCACCCTCACAGTCTGATCATTACCAACTCTGTCTGTCCAACTGCTCTTCTCTCTCTTTAGGCTATATCCTTTCGTTTACTCCCTACCTCAACCCCCTCCTCTTTTTTCTGCATATAAATTGACATTTTCCCAGCCACCATCAGTTCTGAGGAAGGCTCACCGGACCAGAAACGTTAACTGTTTTTTCCTTCATAGATGCTGCCAGACCTGCTGAGCTTTTCCAGCAACTTCGTTTTTGTATTGCCCTATCAGTATTCTCTCCATCAGCAGAAAAGTGATGGGTGGAGTTATCAATGGTGCTTTCAAACAGTGCTTACTCAAAAATAATCTGCTCACAGATGCCCAGTTTGGATTCCAACAGGCCACTCACCTCCAAACCTTATAAAAAATTGGCTCAAATGTAGATAAACGAGCTGAATTCCAGACTTGAGGTGGGAGTGACTGTCCTTGACATCAAGGTAGTGTTTCACAGCGTATGGCATTAAGGGTCCAAAACTGGGTCAATGGGAATCAGGCAAGATTGGGGGTGGGGGAGGAGTTACTAACTGTCCCCCACTTGGAGTCATTCCTGGCTTGAAAGGAAGATGTTTGTGGATTTTAGAAGTCAGTCATGTCAGCTCTGGGAGATCTTCATCAGAGTGCTTCAGGGTAGTGCCCTAGGCCCATAACACTTCAGTTGCTTCATCAATGCTTTCCTTTCATCATAAAGTCAGAAGTAGGGACTTTGACTGAGATTGCACAACATTCAGCACCATTTGCAACTCTTCAGATAGTGAAGCAATCCATGTCTGAATGAAGCGCTCCTGAGCAATATCCAGACTTGATCTGAATTGTGCAAGTCAGGCCCTCTTGTGGTGCAGTAGTAGTGTCCCTACTGTTGAATTTGAACACTCAGGTTTAAGTTCCACCTGCTCCAGAGGTGTGCAATAACATCTCTGAACAGGTTGATTTGAAAAATAGGTTAAATTAGAAAGAAATGGCAAGTAACATTTGCATCACACAAATGACAAGCAATGGCCATCTTCAACAAGATAGAATCTAACCATCATCTCGTCATTCAATGGTATTATCAATATGGAATCCCCCTACCGTTTATACCATAGACCAGAAATTGAACTGGACTAGCCATATCAATACACAGCAGGTCAGATTCTAGGAATCCTGCAGCAAGTAACTCACCTCCTGACTGCTTAAAGCGTGCCTGCAAGGCACAAGTGAACAGTGTGATTGAATGCTCCCTACTTGCCCGGATGAGTGCAGTGCTAAGAGAACGCAAAAAGAATGATGCCATCCCGGACTAAGCAGCCCACTTGATTAATATCACACCCACAAGCATCCACTCCCTCCACCATTGACACTCAGTAGCAGCAGTGTGTACTCTCTACACAATACACAGCAGAAATTCACCACGACTCCTCAGACATCATCTTCTACACCCGCAACCACTTTCGTCCAAATGATAAAGGCAAAGGTTACATGGAAACACCACCAACTGCAAGTTCCCTTTTAAGCCACTCATCTCAAGTTGGAAATGTATTGCTGATTCTTTAGTATGTCTGAGTCAAAATCCTGGAACTCCCTTGCTAACAGCACTGTGAATGTACTACCATTATGCAAAATGAACTACAATGGCTCAAGGCAGTAGCTCATGACCATCTTCTCCAGTGCAACGAGGGACTGGCAATAAATGCTGGTCCA